AACTGTGCTCCGTAGGATTTTTCAATGGCTGATTTTTCAGAAGTAAATCACCAGGCCTTTCTTCCAAGGCACCTCTAGGTGGGCTCCAACCTCCAACCTTTCAGTTAGCAGCTGAGCGCTTAACCGTTTGCATCACTTAGGGATTCTACAGGTGGAATTTATACAGCTAAACTATGTATTTATAATTGATATATTTATAGGGCCATCAGGATTGGAGGAAGACTCATTAACAACCTGTGATATGCAGATGTCACAACCCTGCTTGCTGAAAGTGAAGAGGACTTGAAGCACTTACTGATGAAGATCAAAAACTACAGCCTTCAGTATGGATTACACTTCAGCATAAAGAAAACAAAAGTCCTTACAACTGGACCAATGAGCAACATCATGATAAACGGAGGAAAGATCGAAGTTGTCAAGGATTTTATTTTACTTGGATCCACAATCAACACCCATGGAAGCAGCAGTCGAGAAATCAAAGGACACATTGCATTGGGCAAATCTTCTGCAAAAGACCTCTTCAAAGTATTGAAAAGCAAAGATGTCACCTTGAAGACTAAGGTGCGCCTGACTCAAGCCATGGTATTTTCAATTGCATCATATATGCATGCGAAAGCTGGATAATAAATAAGAAAGACTAAAGAAGAATTGATGCCTTTAAGTTATGGTATTGGTGAAGAATATTGAATAGACCATGGACTGCCAAAAGAATGAACAAATCTGTCCTGAAGAAGTACAACCAGAATGCTCCTTAGAAGGAAGGGTGGTGAGACTACTATTACATACTTCGGACATGCTGTCAGGAGGGATCAGTCCCTGAGGAGGACATCATGCTTGGTAAAGCACAAGGTCAGTGAAAAGGAGGAAGATCCTCAATGAGATGGATTGACACAGTGGCTGCAACAACGGGCTCAAGCATAATAACGATCGTAAGGACGGCACAGGACCGGGTAGTGCTTCCTTCTGTGGTGCACGGAGTCGCTGTAAGTCGGAACCGACTTGACTGCACCTAACAACAACAACATAGCTAAAAATAGATGATGTTTTTGTTTTCAATTTATAACCAGTAAGTTTTGAATAGTGTCCCGTAAATAACAAGGTGAAACAAGGTCATTGGCATCACCAAGGCATTCTGAGTTGCACTATGACCCAACGAATGTTCCAAAATTCAGAGAAGTTTATAGGTAGATTCTGTGTCCAAAAAGTGTCAGGACCAATCGAAGGCTACACCTCAGTCCTCTTCCATCTAGGAACATTCAAGCTGGCATCAAAAATTCCAGCTTCTAATACCACACTTATACTAATAACATATACTTTTGCTGTATGCTAACTGTGTGACCTTGGACAAGTCACTCAACCTCTCTTAGCCTCAGTTTTCTCAACCATAAATGAAAGTACTGAATACATGACTTCTCATGTTCTGTCAAACTCCATCTCTGACTCCCTGAATTTATCTGCTCGTTACACCTGAGACTGGCTAATGAGGAAGTTCATGGAGGCAAACCCAGAGACAGTTAAAGGGATTGTTGCATATGGAAATAGTACCCCTAATCACAAATGTATCACTTTAGGGAAAAAACCTCTCAGGAGGTTTTTTCTCGGCTGCTAACTGAAAGGTCAGTGGTTGGAACCCACCAGCTGTTTGGTGGAGAAAAGACTTGGCAATCTGCTGCCGTAAAGATTAACCAAAAAAACTGTTGATGTTGAGTTGATTCCAACTTATGGCCTAGAAGACCCTATAGGGCATTTCTACTCTGCCCTGTAGGGTCGTTATGAGTCAGAATTGACTCAACAGCACACAACAACAATAATAACTTCTAATCTATATCAGTTAGGTTCTTCTGTGTAATAGACCATCCCAAAACATAGTGGCTATCCAGCAGCTGACTGTAGGCACAGGAGTGGGCCTAGCCAAGTTCAGAAAAAGCACTGCCCAGCTGAGCCTAGCCCAAACTGTACACCCAGATAATAATCTGCCACATACATGATTGTTATCATAGACAACTTTGCTTTGGGTTGATCTGTTACACGGCAAAAACTAACTGATACATAATCTTTGTGATTGATTTCTTTTTGCCTTGGCTAGACATTGAGTACAACATCGGAGCAGTGACGCTAATGGGCTTCCTTGTCGTTTCCCCAACTTTGATTTCCTATTAAGAATAAAGTTTATTTTAGAATTCTGGAACATACTGTCCACCAAGTTAAGAAAATTTCTTTCTATTCCTACTTTGCTAAGTTTTTGAATACATTAAGAACTAAAATAGAAACCATCCCCATTCCTTAAGCACTGAGCAGCCTTTTCCAGACAAATGAAAAGCTTCGAGCAGAACACTTTGGGAACATGTTGAGTCGCTTATAATGCAACAGGTAAGACCAAGACATGGAAGGCGCTTAAATGATAATACATGGCAACATAAAATCAAGTGATGGACACCAAAGGTATCAACTCAAGTTCAACAGAAGTTTAGAGAAGAATTTGAGCTTGGCTTTAAAAATAAAATAAGAACCATTCAGGCAAAAGCATAGCAAGGGACAAAGAGCATAAGGGTAGAACATGGCAACACATGCTTGATAACTGTATCAAGGCAATACCGTATGTTCACCTCAACCATTTCTTCTTCCCGGGCACAGAGGAAGCCTACATCTCCTAGCAGCCTTGAAGTCATGTGTCTGCATACTAGCCAATGAAATGTGGTTAGAGGTAGGCCACTTTTACGCCTGGCCTTTGAAAGCATCTGTGAGATCTTCCAGGGTTTCTATGGAAATGTCCAAGATAGATGACAACAAGCATGGTTTCCAGATGGCATGAGCACAGGACAGAAGCATCCAGGGTCCCTAATCACTACCCGGACTTAGCATCTTAGAGAAGAACTGCTTGGAAACCGCGCCCAAGCCTTACCGGACTGTGTGAAGCCACTGAGATACAGGAGATTTGTGACAGCAGCTAAGATTAATTACTCCAACTAACACAAGGAGCCATAGCAGGGTGATGCAGGCAACATGCTCGGCTGCTAACCAAAAGGTCACTGGTTCAAGTCCACCCAGAGGCACCTTGGAAGAAGGGCCTGGCAATCTACTTCCAAAAAATCAAGCCACTGAAAACCCTATAGAGTGCAGGTCTACTCTGATACACCTGATGTTGCCATGAGTGAATCAACCTTCTGGTAACTGTTTATATATGGAAGCAGCAGTCGAGAAATCAAAGGACACATTGCATTGGGCAAATCTTCTGCAAAAGACCTCTTCAAAGTATTGAAAAGCAAAGATGTCACCTTGAAGACTAAGGTGCGCCTGACTCAAGCCATGGTATTTTCAATTGCATCATATATGCATGCGAAAGCTGGATAATAAATAAGAAAGACTAAAGAAGAATTGATGCCTTTAAGTTATGGTATTGGTGAAGAATATTGAATAGACCATGGACTGCCAAAAGAATGAACAAATCTGTCCTGAAGAAGTACAACCAGAATGCTCCTTAGAAGGAAGGGTGGTGAGACTACTATTACATACTTCGGACATGCTGTCAGGAGGGATCAGTCCCTGAGGAGGACATCATGCTTGGTAAAGCACAAGGTCAGTGAAAAGGAGGAAGATCCTCAATGAGATGGATTGACACAGTGGCTGCAACAACGGGCTCAAGCATAATAACGATCGTAAGGACGGCACAGGACCGGGTAGTGCTTCCTTCTGTGGTGCACGGAGTCGCTGTAAGTCGGAACCGACTTGACTGCACCTAACAACAACAACATAGCTAAAAATAGATGATGTTTTTGTTTTCAATTTATAACCAGTAAGTTTTGAATAGTGTCCCGTAAATAACAAGGTGAAACAAGGTCATTGGCATCACCAAGGCATTCTGAGTTGCACTATGACCCAACGAATGTTCCAAAATTCAGAGAAGTTTATAGGTAGATTCTGTGTCCAAAAAGTGTCAGGACCAATCGAAGGCTACACCTCAGTCCTCTTCCATCTAGGAACATTCAAGCTGGCATCAAAAATTCCAGCTTCTAATACCACACTTATACTAATAACATATACTTTTGCTGTATGCTAACTGTGTGACCTTGGACAAGTCACTCAACCTCTCTTAGCCTCAGTTTTCTCAACCATAAATGAAAGTACTGAATACATGACTTCTCATGTTC